TTGGCAAGTCCCTGTGTATAATAACAATAACAACAAGAAGAATAACAAGAACAATAGTGCAGGAGCCCATGCCTTTTGCCAATTCCGTGTGTATAACAACAACAATAAAAACAACCATGTATGAGCCCATAGCTAGAGATGTCCTTGACCAATGCCTGTAACCCAAGCCTTCAATGAAGGAGAATCCATCTCCCTCTAAGGGGGTCTGTTCTGCCTTCAAGCTCTTATTTTCCATCAGGACGATGTTACAACGAACCCTCCTATATGTCCTGCCTTGAAACAGTGACCCACATCCTTACTTGCCCCAGGTTGGCCAATGGCCTGGTTCTGGATGTTCTCCTCAATCCAGAGAGACCTCAAGCCCGAGAAAGAACCCAGATGCCCTCCTGAAGCACTCCTGTCCCTTACGCTGTGTGTTAGAAGTCAACAAGGGGCCCGTGGATGGGATCGGGCCAAAGCAACGGGCCTCCCAGGCTCAGAGCGACTGGCCAGGTGCCCAAAGGGGTTCTCAGTCTCCTCCGTCCAGGATCTCCCACCATTTGATGCTTCTCCAAAACCAGAGGCCTCCCAAAACAGAGCAAGAGCACCACCTGATGTCAGGAAAAGGGAGGCACGGGCAGTCTTGTTGACGAGTCTCCTAAGTCATTTCTGACTTAGACCAAAATCCAAGCTGGCTCTCTGGTGCACAGCTGACTGAACGAACCACTTCAGAAGTGTGGAAGATCTGGTTGTCCTTCCTTGGAGACCTTCAAACTGAGACTGGATGGCCATTCCTTAGGGATGCTTTTGTTGTGGGTCCTTGCACAGCAAGGGAGTGGACTTGATGGCCCTTGGGGTCCCTTGCAAACCTAGGATTGTAGTCCTTAATGGCCACAAGGACCTTGTTGGCTCTCAGCAAGCCAAGCAGGCCACTTCCACGCAGGTGCCCTACTCAGATGCTAATGGGTGGTTCCCATTCAGCGCATAAATATCTAGCTTACAAATTGCATCCTTTACTCTTGTTTAACAGGCAATAATTCTTTTGGGTTGTTGTAGGTTTTTGGGGGGGTTATGGCCATGTTCTAGAGGCATTCTCTCCTGACGTTTCACCTGCATCTGTGGCAAGCATCCTCAGAGGTTGT